GTTACAACCTTTATCTCTTTCACAGGGTTATGCAACCCAACCACAATTGTATTCCTTCCAACAGCAAGTTCTAGAAGCACCAAATAAAATGGAAGAGTCTTGGGAAAATATATCCTTCGTATGACTACGAATGCTTATCAAAGTGTTCCAGGTTAGTGGAAGCGACGCTAAAAGCTTCAAGCCAATTTGAACCATCTAACAGTCCCAAACTATCCCTCCTTTCTCGTAAATAAGGGATCTGATAAAGCCGTCAGCAAACCCACGAGCAATAGTCTGCCTTCTTTTCAGTCGCAGTGTCGCGAGCTAAAGATTTCTCTGGTTGTCTTCTTCAATTCCATGCTTGCTCTTGCTCAGTGACGCTTGCAGCACAAACAGTGATACACACCTTCAATCCACATTAATATCTCTCTTCTTGCGAAGGCTGCTGAAGTCGCTTGGAGGAGGGCTGAAGCACAAGCCGCCAAAGTTAAGCAAAAGCTCAACGAGAGGCCGCCGGAACGAAAGCTTGCAGGCTGTTGCAAGGGTTTATGATCACTAGCAAAATGAGTTGGGATTATCAAAATGAGGCTTCTTGTTTGTCTTCTGTTACTGCTGGAGTCCATAAGTGTTTGGTCGACACCTTTGCTAGGAGCTCACTATCGCATGACAGTGTCTCTATTGGCCAAGTCAACCAGTCCCGGACAACAAGGGCTAGAGAACTGAGGCAAAAGTTTTGGTGGAGCAAGGGGCACATCCTCGTTTTTAGATCAGCTCCAAGGAGCTGGACCTGACGCGCAACGCGGTGACTTGCACGTCATGTCCAATCTTATGCAAGTTAGTCTTATGCAAGAAACACAAGGTGCCGCCCGAAATCACCGCTTTCATTGCACAAGAGAGTGATAGTCTACGAAGATATGAAGATTACGCTTCGGAGTTTAAGGATAAAAAATGAAGTCCAGAAGCGAGCAGTTGAGACCTATGTTGGAGGCATACTTTCACTTGATGGTGTCTCTATCATCCGAGCCAACCCGTCTTGAACAACATGAGCTAAAGAATTGTGGTGACTGATGTTGCTGTTATGACAACGAGCAGGTTGTTGATGCAAGCAAGAAGATGAAAGAATGTTCAGAATCCAAAAGTCTTGGCTGCTATTTCTTGGCCTTCTTTGACGGCCGTGGTTTTAACAAGAAAGAGAGAGAGAAAGGATAGGAGGCCGGGAGGAGAGCTGCTCTATCTTTTTTTTTCTTTCAAGAACCCCAAGCAGCAAAGAAGACTTCCCCCGAAGCAAGGGGCATACTCCCGGTCAAAGAGTCCGACTCAGAATAAGAGGGTCCAAAGGCTGTGGCCAAGAAAGCTGTCACCTCCTTACGCGTCGGTTAGGGAACCTATGAAAAAAATAGACAACTTGTGAACCTCATATGGAGGGGGTCAAGAATCACACCGTGAAAGGTCCAATAACCGCACGCACAGATGAAAGTGAGATGCTTGACGCAGTTAAGCTCATTGTGGCCAAAAAACTATCCGCCGCCATTGGTTTCCGGATCTAGAGCTTCTTTGTCACTAGATGATACTCTTTGGTAATAGGCGTAGCTCCTCCCAACCCCAAGAGATTGGTACCTCCCCAAAAATACAAAAATGCGATCTCTCTCAAGCAGCTCACGAGAGGACAAAGTACATCGAAAGTACATACTACTGCGAACAACCCTCACCCCTACAAGAAACACATAAACGAAACGACCGTGAGGTATCGTGAGACACTGTGAGGTAGCGGAAGCACAAGCCACCGCTAGCAACCCTAACCCTAGCATTTCACATCAAGAACAAGAAACTTATCCCAAGGGTTCCGTCATGAAACCAAAAGTGTGGATGTGTTTGGAAATACAAGAAGACGTGCACTATGCATACGCAGACATGGTTATAATAGTCACCCGCCTAAATTACCTAAATACACTTAATTTAGTCTCCTTAAAAAATTTAATTTAGACTAATTTAATTTTTTTGAAAATGTTAATTTAGACCAATTTAGGAAAAATTAATAAATTTAGACTAATTTAGTATTTAGAGAAAATTAATTTAGACTAATTTAGTCTCTTGAAAATTTAATCTAAATTAGTTTGATCTTGTTAATTAAAAATTTATTTTGACCATTTTCAATACAAATTATATAAAAAATATTTCTGAACCAAAATTTTTCATAGAACATAACATAGTCAAAACAAAAATTATTTTGACTTCATGATAACTTTTATTCAAAAATTTTCATTACAAAATTTTTACCAAACATTTGTCAATGCTTGAACTGTTCTATGAACAAGAACTGTTTTGTCTGCAAAACTCTTTCTAATCCAAAGTTTGATAATCTTTTTTGAAACAAATCTTTTTCCCAACGCAAAATTGAAAATTCAGACTCTACCGTGCTAGTTCCAGGAAAAAGCGTCGCAATTACACAACAATATCCCATCAAATTCGGAAATCGAGCACCCAAAGAAGAACAGCTGTACTTGAAACTTGAACTACTGGAAAGCGAATCGATAACGCTTTTAATCACTGGCTCACATCTATGAGCATAGATTAGAATTTTGTGCTCATCAGCTATGATATCAATCTGATCAGATGAATAAGAATGCTTCAATCGAAAAGCATGTTGCCGCATCTTTCGGATAAAATCTGCTACAGATAGCTTGATGAGTTCATGTGGTAGCACTTGGAAAATAGAACCAAAATCAATCATTGCATTGTTGTTTTGATCTCGATAAGCACAAATTTTGTGGATTCGATAGCAGGCTGTGACATAAACAAGAGCGATGTCTCATTGAAGATCGCTTAGATCGCTTTCAGTGGCTTCGTTAAGTAAGGGTTCAACCCAAGAAGCCATACCAATGAAAAATTCTTGAAAATTAGAGAAAGCGATCGCATAATGACCGGCTATGACGTGAGTTGATAGATCAACATTAGCAATTGATTTTGCGTTGAGCGGTCCAATTACTCTAACATCGGCAATGAAAGTTGCCACAAGGTTATCCAAGGCGTTTTGCTGCTGAAGTACAAGAGTAGTTAACCTTTGAATAGTACGAAAAGCAATAGCTGCTTGTGTGGTGAAATGATGCATAGAAAGAAGTGCAACCCACCAAAGTCGAGATGGAGCGGAAGCTGGTTGTTTTGAGTCGATATGAACTAGTAACTGAGTTGGATGGATTTTGAACCAAGTAATGACTTTTTCCGTCGAAAGTCAACGATTAACAACACGAGTGCATGTAGTTTGCATTTCTGCGATCAAATTTTGTTGTCGTGTCAGGTGAGTAATGAATCCAATCATCACTAAAAAAAATCGTTCTTTGATGACATTGTTCATTATCTCTTCCATAACAAGATCTAGTTGATGAGCTCCGCACCAAATCCGAATTAAAGAACAATCCTTGTGCATCACGTCGGCAAGGCGGGTAACAACCCCAGTAATCCGTCCAGTCATATTGCAAGCCCCGTTAGTTGTCAAACCAAGAAAACGATTTGTCCAATCAGGACAGAGCACTGTCAAAAATTTGCTCACCATTGTGAACATAACTTCACCTGTATGGCGATCAAACATCGGAAGAGCACAACCATGCAAGTTAACAATTGAATTGAAGATCCGGAAACGTATGTCAAGAAATGAAGTGCTCTGATGTGTCGCCGAGTTGAGTGCTAATGAAAATTCTCACGAACGTTGAAGAAGTTTCGCAATCTTTTGAAGATTGGCAGCGCAGATTACCCAAATAAAGCTACTAATTTCGTGACGAGAACAGGAATGTATAGCAGGATTGCCCAAAACATCATATGTACAACCGACAAGTTCGGATGCCATACGAAATGATGTCCCGCAAGATACGTATCGCATAGCAAGACGAAACAACATTGTTTTTGTCTTGGAAATTGTCATTAAGTAAAAGTAATCTGTAACAACGTACTTCAATTCAACGCGATGAAACAGTGATAATGCGCGTGCTTTAGACTTGGTTGCTGCTTGTTGATGTTGGGTTAGTTGGATATTATTTTCACCCATACTACCAAACAGATGTACATCTTCTTCTTCATCTTCTGCATCACTTTCTTCTTGTTCTTCGGGATTGAACATCATATTGCCGACAATGATATCAACAAAATCTCATTCAATATCATATACAAGATCTCCTTCATCTTCCAAAGAAGACGGAAAATGGGCTTTAAGAGAATTTTTAGAAGCAATTGGCTCATCATCAAAAAATGAATTACGATCTGAAGAAGTTTCTAAGTTTTGATACACATCCCATTGTTTGGTATGTTGGGTACAAAGATGATGCTCAATATTGTCATAACAAAAAGGAGATTTCCATGCTTGCACAGAAGATGCCACTATTCATTTTGCATCTACCTTCTCTTCCCAACCAAATGCAATACAAAACCAACATTGCACACCCATCACTTTTGACGATTTTGAGTCTCGACTTACAACCTTCAATCCGAATTTTTTGTCGTTTCCTTTCATGTAGGCAGATGGTCATTTTTTTGTCATTATGAAAATGACATAAATTTGATGCCCACAGTAAGTTTATCCTCTTCGCTACTATCCTGCAGCATTTCAAAAAACAGAAAATTAGAATATATAATTAATAAAATTAAATATTATTATAATCACACTAAATTTCATACATAAAGTTGAGTATCCATGGAAAAAAACTAGAGAGCACTATGTTGAGTGTATGGCACTCTGTGTTACAGGTAGTTTGTGGTTGATTTGTGACAAGGAAGAGTGAAACATGTAGAAATTTTCCCTCATCGGCCATTCGGGTGTCGGTAGTGGCCAACGAGGTCAAACGCCAGTCATGTGTCCTAATCCATCCAAAGGCAGTCTTAGAAGCGCTCGACGTCACGGTGGTCCCTGACATGTGGTGACCGCATCAGCGGATGCTCGTGCGTTGAGCTGCGGCGGTATGTCAGCATGTTTTTCTATGTCAGCATGTTTTTCAATGCAGCGCGGTCCGACGTGGTGGATCAAGACTTTTGATGTGGGCATAATACTTTATTACAGTCCTCTACAACTCACAGACTGAATTGACAGCCTCGTATGCTGCTTAGTTAGTCCTCTACAACACACACCGAATTGACAGCCTCGTATGCTGCTTAGTTGCCTTCTGATCGGAGAGCGAAGGGTGATGGCGAGGTCGAAATGTCTTGCTTGGCTCCCTGCCCTTCCGTCTCCACCCCAGAAAAGGTCAACTAGCTCAGATTGGCGCTCGCTCTTGACCGTCGAGTCAAGCCAAGTCCTCGGCCCTGATTGATGAGGTCGGAAGCAAGCGACGAGCTCATCGAATCCACAGATTCCCACTTTGAGTTGGGAGACTTAATTGCAGCAGTCAGGGTCCAGTGCAGAACTTCGTCGTGATAGTAGTTGTGGTTTTCTTCTACTCCTTCAGCTCGTCAATGCGGAGCTGCCAAAATGTAGGATTATAGCTAGACATGATCACACGACTCGCACATTATCTTCCGGCGTCCTGACATTTGAAAGAAGATTATGGCACAAACCTTGGCCGCTGCGTCCACTCACACGACCTTAATGACAAATGCTACTCCGATTGATCATCATGCCGCCGTCGCTGTGGATCCGTCCACATTGAATTTCCATGGCTTTTAGAGGACGAAAAGAACATTATCAGGGAGCTGTTTAGATCGATGCCTCTCATGACGATTTATTCTTCAAACCACATCGAGTGAGTACACATGCAAGCGGCAGTTCAACCTTCTTGATGCATTGGCCAAGTGCTCATTGGTGATTCACTGACCGATTTGCAGTCTTAATTACTCTTCTCCTTCTGTCAATGCAAATTGCTTCCTCCATGTCGATATTGCCGTAACAGCGTAAGAGGTGCCTGCGGTTTCTTGAGCTGAGCTTGGATATGGCCGGCTGCCTTGTGCATGCAATTCTGGACATTGTCTAGTTAAAAATACCGTCGAACTCGTTTAGGGACTGGGACTTCGAGACGGACTTCTTGTTCCGGGATCGGGTGTTGGGTGTCAGGGCCTTCTTAGTCTCAATATATCGACATTAGTCTTGCTTGACGGTCGTGAGGCAACAAGGGCAGATTCGCCGATTTGCGTGCTCATTCCTTCCGGATCATGATTTCAATGATCGACCGGGACGTCGAACTTATCAGCTAGGTACAGAATTGGGAGGTCTAGAGGCTGTGTGGGAAGGTGAGGAATGTTTTGGAAATCAAAGAGGGCATTCTGGTGATTGAGTTCTACGGAACGGAATGTCATTTTACTCCAAGCGACGAAGCGCATGGATTATCACGCCATTCTCTGCAGTTCTTGATTCCATACTTGCAGCTCAAGTGAGAAGTCTTGAAGAAGGTGTTATAGTGCAAGAATTACAACTGAGTCTCGCGGGTGGATGTTTAGATCAATTTTGGTCGAAGCAAAATCCACGGGTCAAATGATCACTCCAATGTTTTCTAATGAGGACAGGTCAGCCGGCTAGCAAACCGAAGCGCAATGAGTTCAATTAGAGGTGAATGTCGATGAAGGGGACCTTCGATTCCATGATGGATTCACAGAACGCGCATAATCGAGAATGTTATCGCTGCACATCAGATTCAAGCCTCCTCCAAACGAATCGCGCAGATGCAGTTTTGCTCTTTTCTGTCACGAGTCATAGAGTACAAGCCAAACACGAGGCAGTTTCGTGTACTGCTAGAAGACACGAAAGAGTTCTAGACTGAGTAAAAAAACGTTCGAGAACGGGACAAGATCAAAAGAGAACGAAGGTCAGACGAGCAAGAAATGCAAGTTAGACGAGAGTTTAAAACAATCAGAACCTGAAGAGAAGAGAGTCTTAATATAAAGAGCATGTAAAGACAAATAATGAATGACAACGCATAGAAGAAAGAAAGGTCGCGAGAATTACATTCGCTGTCCGGGCAGTATATTCACTCTGTAGGATCGAACACTCTGTCAAATCGACAAACTCTGTAGGAATTCAAACGGGAAAGTGATTGAACACTCAGTCAAATCAACAAACTCTGTAGGAATTCGAACGGGAAAGTGATCGAACACTCAGTCAAATTGACATACTCTATAGGAGTTCGAACGGGAAAGTGAGCTGCATTTCAATCGGAGAAACTCGATCAGGAAAATGAGATGCACTAATTCACAAAGACTATTCTATATATTCTGACTCGCATGCAGAAATCCGTTGCAGGGAGTACTTCGCGTCTTCTTCTCATTGGGGGTTAGGTTCTTGATTCAGTTAGGCGCCAAATCCCGCCCATTTTAGTTTAGGCGCCTCAACTAGTGCCCGTTTAGGTAATTTAGGCGCCGACATATAGAGTAGCCTATTTGAACCATGCCTGTGCATAGGTGTTTAAACTCAGTATGCTAATGCGGTTATTCAACCCTACTACATAAATTTACTATCCTGATGGCTTCCGTGCACTCTCACCTACTACCTGCAAAGTGCTAACAGGAGGTGCAGACCATAATGAATGAGCATCTTAAATACATTTGCGATATGGTAAAGAAAGTTCCTTGCAAAACTTCTTGATCCTGCTATATTCGAACTTGGACAGATAAACTTCTGAACGTAACCATTCACCACTATTGGACAAATGGAGGGAGTATCCAAAAGCTTTAGTACTACCTAACAGGCCCATATTCAATGTTGTATTGCTTCGTGTCTAGTCGCACATGCACTTGCACACCTTGGCGAAACTGTTAGCTTCTTTTCAAGCTATACCAAGTAGCAAAAAACTCAAGGATTCAAACGAGATGACATAACACATTTCCTTACTCTTTGCCTTTGCAAGAAATCATGAACAGTTATTAGTATGAGAACACATTGATAGTTGGTTGAGACTTGACAATGATCCATTTGGAAAGCGAATATTATTATTTGAAAGTTACAATGAGAGAGATGTAGCAATAAGGTGATGGATTGCTCAGTCTCCAATGACAAACTAGTCTCTTAAATTATAGAAGAGATTTATTCTATGTGCAAACATATGATAGTTACTTGGGACTAGAGACATGTGCAGTTGTAATAGTTCAAGTCAAAGAACTGGATCTTGTGCTTTGACTGCGGACAGAGCAATGTCGTCAACAAATGCTTTAAACATAGACAAGTAGGATCAGTTGAGAGGACAACAGTATGACACGAACACACAAATATCTGAAAATACATGAATGACTTTGTCGTTTATTTCGTCTATCTCTACTTGCTATGAATATCTCGCTGATGTGATCACCTTAACAAACTTCCGGAAGAAGAATACCGTAATGTGAGAATACTTGGTAAAGACGAAGCTTCTCCGTTCGTATATTAATGTTCCAACCCTCTGAAATTGTAAATGCCATGCTTGCTTGCCTACTTTGATGTTCTGGACAATACAAAGTGATCCCTCTTCATGGGGCACGGATTTTGTATGATAGCGATCTAGGGTCCGCAAATCCCACACCATCTTCCTTCCAAGCCAAATAAATTATTACAATCCTCGCATCAATGATGAATCCCCACTGAACTTCTCACTATTTTCTTGGATGATTTTTCAAGCTATGACTCTTCAATAGTTTTACGAATTGAGCTATATTCCGAGAAATTTTATGGTTGTTGTCAAGTATGGCTAGTCTTTGATTCCCAAATATGATGGAATATTGTGAAATAATTGCGACTTTTTTTCTGGAATAAATCATTGTAGAGCAAAAATTTTCAATCTTGCTCTGATAAAAAGAATTGTTTTGTTAATGTTTATCAAACATTGGATTAAAAATAGTCATGAAAACAAAAATTATCTTTTTCATATAACATTAACAAAATTAATAAACATTTATCAATAATTTTGTAATAAAAATTGCTTAAATTAACCATTCATTCTTGATGAGGACTAAATTATATTCCTCTAAAAAATTGAAAATTATAAGCATAATGACACTAATTATTTCTTAACTCGAATTCAATCAAGTCATGACAAGGGTTTTTAATTCATTTTAAATATTAATATTTAAAATTCATAATTTAAATATGAACATAATTAACACTATTCATAATGAATACATTATTAATGTCAATTCATAATTTGCATAAGATATATGAGTCCCCAATGCGTAGTTTAACAAAAAAATTAAATTTTTCATTGATTATGTTGAATCATATTGATCAAAAAATATTTTCCAGACAATGAAAGTATTTTTTTTAATGTTTTCACATTCTCTACAAATCATCTTCTTTTATACAAATTCGCCGTAGATATTAGACGTTCTTATTGCACCCAACTTTTGCTTATCCTTGTCTTTTTTATAATAATCATATTTCATTAACCATATTCATCTATTAAAGTAAAGGCCGTAATAGATGAAGAGTATAATGTAAACTGCATCATTGCTGGATATTATCCATTAATAAAATTGTCAAACAATTCTTAGCTCATCATAACAGAGCAAAATTCATGATTTACAATCAAACTAAAAACCTAAACTTAGAAGACGTGATCTTCTTTAGTCATTTATTTCACATCCAAGATTATGAGAATTAACGTTCCGATAACCAAAAACAAGACTTGAGTCAAATTCGAGACTAGACTTTCTAATCATAGGCGTATGAGTGCACATTTGTTCGTATACTACTGAGTAGAATACGAACTACGTCTTAATTACGTAGTAACGCAGTAGTAACGCTTCTCGCTAGAACAACCCCGACCGTATGCTCTCCGGGCTGACGGTATACGTACACCGTTCGTTTGGCACCGTCACCCAGTGTGTTTCACCGTCACCGTCACCCGGGGTATCGCGATTCGCACCTTCTGGCCTGCCTTCTCGTCTAGCATTTCTTGTGACTCACTTTCGGATTGACGATGGCGGATCAGGCGACCTCGGAGGTGGCGATTTGTCGAATGATTTCTTCATTCTTCTGCATTCTGAGTTACGATTGTCAGGAGAGTTGCGTTTGTATGGGCCAGGGTTTTTACTGTCGTCGCGGCTTTTAGAGAACTGGCGGGTTTCGAATTTTGTTTGGTTTCCTTCTTTCTCCTAGTCCTTTGTAAAAGCTCGATGTCAGCCTTGCTCTCCGTTTCTCTACCCGTCCCTTCCCAGCACTGAACCTTGCATGCTGTTTTCTCGTACGTCTGGTCTCCGTTCCTCTCCCCGTCCCTTCCCAGCTTTGAACCTTGCACGCTGTTTTTCTCGTCCGTCTGGTCTACCTTTTACCTGCAGTGGCTTTCGGGATCGTCAACCCGGAAGAGTTTCAGGAAAGCGCAATAGTCCCGACCCTGTCATAAAGCGTGTATGTTTCCCATTATCCACCTCCTCAAATCCGTGCCCACGTCTACATCAAATCAGTGTCGATGAATTGCTGCAGTAAGTGGTGATGGGTGACTTCCTGCAATTTACTGAAGTGGGCAGTGCCGAAGAAGAAGTTTCCTCGAAGTGCCATGGTGGAAACAGAAAACCTCTCTCGAATCTTCATCACAGTTTTGTGTTTTGATTTTCTGGGAGTCCATGGCAGACTCGATGATTTTGTTGAAATTGCGAAGCTGAAATGAAAGAACCTGAATTAAAAAAGAGCATGCTGAGTACTCAGATTTCAGACTATTCACCAGTTTAAACCCCACCACATCATCAATCTTGCGACCAGATACAGGTCTGCTGCCATTCTGCCAATTCTGCACCACCTTGCCAGGCACGCTGATTCCAAGGAATTGCCTAGGTTCAGCGAGCGAAATGTCTCAAAATGTCCTAAGATATACTTTCCCCTACCTGATCTCAGCGTGGGCATATGTAAGAACTTAATGAACTATACTACTGCAGCCTCGAGATCGATCCTTTTTTAATAAACAGTTCTTTTAAGTCTTTCAACTCCCACAGTGAATCGTATTAAGCTATTCTGTCATTGAGAACAAGATCCGGACTTGTACGCGAACTTTGTTGACTCAGGAATCTTTCTACTCAGAAGCTCTGATTTCCTTGTTTGGTTTCGTTGGATGGATGCTCTAACGAAGGAGCGTTCCGAAAATTTTAACAAGCCGCTTCTGTGTCCCGCACACGGAATTCTTTAGTAGAAGGCGAAAGATAGTTCGCTCTGGACAGAACTTCGGCTGGTATTCTCATCAGCCGAAGATCCAAGAGTATGAACCCCGCAGAAGGCTCTTGTGGCGCGCACATTGTTCCATGCGCCGACACGTGTCCATGTGTATAATTTGAATTCCAGAGGGTCGCGTCAAGAAGTCACCCGTCTTGACGCGACGGTGTCAAAGGAGAGACCATCACGATGGTGACCGTATGCCGTCGGCCCACAGTCATACGGTCGGGGTTGTTCTAGCCTGCAGTGTAGTAACTACTACCTCTAGTAATTAAGACGACGGAAATGCTTTGCGCCATGGCGGAAATCTTCTGTAAGTTTGATTGTAAGTTCTCTGTAAGTTTGAGAAGTACTGTTGTCATGGGTGATGATTGCTCCAGTTACTCCGAGGAAGTAAGTATGGTTGCTAGTTTTGTCACGTTGGATGTGCAGTCGGAGAGATAATAATTTATCACGGGAGGAGAGAGAGAGAGATTTACGGATAGGGCGTTTAGATGAACGTCGCGTTGTTCTCCCGTTGTTGGACATTCATCATGCTTTTGATTCCAGTCATGACTGTCCTGTATTTTCTGATCATCACAGTTGTTTTTTACTCGCTAAAGCAAAGTACGAGCGATACTTTCGCTTTGCTAAAATGGATCTGTGCATAAATTATCGAAAGTGATATAAAGGACATACCAGACTGGGGCAAATCCAGATATTTCTGACGGACAGCATGAACCATATCCGTGTTGCTTATATCCTCGTGACGTCAACTCTCGTTGACGCATCTACTCGGGCGACGCACGCTTTTCTCTTCACACGGTCGTGGAGCAAGTAAAGTTGGCAGTTGTTGAAGGATCTGGTCCACGACGCGGAGATGGGAAAGGAGTCTTGAGTGTTGGAATGGCGCCATTCGAACAGAACGTTGATGCCATGGAAAGATCTGCTCCGCATGCATCACAGATGGAAGGGGCCTCTGCAACGAGATGGCCAGGCCCGCCGCCTGTCGCGATGACCCGCACTAACAACCAGCCTCCAGCCTCCAGTGCAGCGTGCAGGCGAAAAAAATCCATCCCCCCTCGCCGATCGAACGAATTCCTCGGACGCATCTGACAACGAATGTCCGGGCTACATAGAGCGCTCCAAGTGTTTGCAGGCTGATCAAAGCTGGACCGCTGCGTTTCCCCGAGAGGCCAACACTTCCATCCTCCATGACAGGACAGGTATTTTCTCGACTATTTTACTCCGCGGGCAGACCCGCATTTCCTTCGGGAAGAGAGCCGCCCCTCTTCGGCAGCAGCTCGGATCAGTCGCGAGATTTGGCGTGCCCCGGCCCCAGTGAGACCGGGCTGGCTTCTAATCTGGCACCCCGCAGTGTGTCACCCCCCAGTCCTGGGGAGAAACGAGCGGACGGGCGCTTCTGGGGACACTTTACTTGCTCGCAACGCATCTACTCGCCTGCTTCGTCTGCTTGCTTGGGCGTCTACCTGGACAGGGTGAGCCGCAAAAACGTTCCTAAAGCCCAGCTCGGACGGCCTCGCCCCGCCCCGTGACCTGCGGAAGAGAAGATCCGTATTTTGATACCCCCGCCTGGGGCCGTGTGGTGGGGAGCGGAAGCCGCAGGTCCCTTGCAGCGAATCCCGCTGGGGGCGTGGAGACCGTGAGGCCGTAGACTCTCCCTCTCTCTCTCTCTCTCTCTCTGAGTACGCGTACAAGGCAGTATTTCGGTGTATTTGGAAAATTCGGCGAGGTCGATGTCGACTGTGCATTCGACGATTAGGCAGTCTTAGTGGGCGCTGCCAATTATTGTCCTTGTCGTCTTTTGATTGGAAGATCTGACCACTTTACTATCACGCACGAGGAGGACGTACCTGTCAGCGATTTCAAAGAAGATCTTTCCAGTCGCTCCCTCCGTTTCGCTTGCTGCGTTCCGAGTTTTTTCACCGGAGCTGGAGCTGTGTTCTTCCTTCGGATCGGATCAGCTGGTCGTGCGTCCTCTCTCCTCGTGCGGGTGAATTGGGACCGAGACCTTCCGGTTTTCGAATTTTCACCTTGTGACTCGGTTCTTACGGGAAGCCAGTGTCCTAAATCAGGCAGCCCGAGAAGCCATAAATTCTCGTTTTCCTTGGCAATTGGGAAGCATCAAGCGGTTTGCGGACTTGCGCGCTCGGACTCGGGACACTGATTTGCTCACTCGCTTCTGCTCTGCATCTGTGGAAGGTCGCTCTGCACGAGCTACCTGCCCCCCGCACAGGAGACCGATCTATAAGAGATAGATTGTTCGAACACTCGAGCCACTTGTTCGCCGATCGTGAAAAGCCTTGCGAGAGTTCTCTCTTTCTCGAGCTCCTGATCGTTCACAGACTACCGTGAAAATGGCGGCCGAGGAGCACTATGGTCACCACCACCTGCACCGCCACGAACACCGCTCGAATTTGCACATGACGCACAACAATCCTGGCGGTTACAATCCTGCCCACCCAACCGGTGAACTGGTTTCTGTGTTCTCGGAAGCGAACCCTAACTATCGACTGGCAGTGAAGCCCGACGGAGTCGTTCTGGCGTTCAAGAACAGGCACGATCCGCAGCAGGTACAGCTCTCAAATGTCCGAAGTCTTTTTTCTGATCTTTTGCAGTGAGCTTGCCTACCTCGAATTCTCTCGTCAGTCTAATTCTGTTTTGCTCAACCTCTAGACCGCAGGGAATGATGCTTTCCAGGACGTATCTACGTGACCCATCTCCCAGGCTGCTTCAATTTTCACCATATACAGCAGAGAAGCTTTTGCAAAAGATTATGAGTTTGATCAAATGCGTTGATTGGTGCAGCAATGGATCAAAGTGGATATGAGGGACAAATTCACCGACCAGCAAGGATGCCCTGGATTTATCCTGATAAACAAAGCCACGGGAATGGCTCTGAAGCATGGCACCGAGCTTGGTGATCCTGTAAGTGTACCAATCTCCTACAAGGAACTGAAAGCCGGAAGGATGTCACGGATTTGATGCTCCTTGCTGTTGTCGCCAGATTTGCATTACGCTGTAACTTATCGTCCGCTGCTGACTTTCAGGTGACAGCTGAACTGTGGCGCCCCAATTATCTTGACAACTCTATTCTCTGGTCTCAAAGCAGCGATGTAGGCAAAGGGTACTCAACCATCAGGCTTGTTACGAACATCACACTTAATCTGGATGCCGATCACGGTGACCGAAAGCATGGCGGTATCAAAGATGGCCATCGACTACTCCTTCACACGTGGACCAAGGGCGAGAATCAGAAGTGGAAGATGGAGCCCGTCGAAGTCGAACCTGAACCCTCTCCTTATGATTCCTGAGCTTTGAACGTATCGAGCTGGTTCACCGCCATCAGCTTTATCAAATCATGGCACGAACATCCGAAGGTAGGTTTCCGAAGCATCATCCCTTTCATGCCGGCCTCTCCATTTGGCGCGAAGGAAGGAATCTGCGGTATTTCCATTCCTGCCTAGCAAAGCGATTCCGGCACGGGAAGCCAACATATCGCCATGAAGTTGTTGCCATTCCGAATCTTTTCTTCTCATGACATGTACAGCAGCATATTACAAGCCAACTTCCAAGCGTTTCACAGTGTTCACCTGCAGCCCACTCTTGATATCTTTATTGTACGATATATCTACCGGATGTCCATTCTGCTGTGAAGAGTGCATATCATCGTACGCTCTTCCCAGTGAGATTAACATCTCTTCGGAGGTCATGTTACGTTTCCCTACTGTAATAAAGTTATTTTTTCTAAACCGGCTGTGATAAATGTCAATCTGAGGCTAACGACCAATGTGTATACGTCAATCCTAGAGCTGAATTTCACTTCACTTCACTTCACTTATGTTTTCCGGAGACTTGTGTGGGTCGATCGTGGAGGTCAGACAGCGGTTATTCGAGGAATCCTAGACGAGGGGAGAGCCATCCTGCGAACGTGACACAGGCAATACGAGCAGCTCCCCCAAGGGCTGTGTCCTTCTGATACATAGATTTGTATCTCAGTACTGTTTTACAACGTATACTTTCACTGCTACATGAGCTGCAATGTCGTGAACAGGTCCTTCATTCTGGGCCCTCACCATCTTCTCTTGCTGTAAGGTTCTCAGCGCGGCATCGGGGCCTTCATTGGCGGCTTCGTAAGGTAGAGGAGTTCGACCTTCGGCTTGGTAACGGAACTTCTGCTGTGGGACCTGTCGCATTGCAGTCAGTAAATCTGCACGCCCTCTGAAGGCTGCATAATGTAGAATACTCGAGCCACTTGAGCTATAGACCTCCTCCTTGTCCTTCACCATGTCCATGCTTGTTCGTCTGAGTCTGGGCTGTCCATTGATTTCCTTCTAGCAGTTCTCTGATGGACCAGGAGAATTCCTGCCAGATCTTGATTTGGTTTACGATTACACCACCTAGATCGTCTAGATGAGCTGATATTCAAGGGACCAAATTTTACCTTTTCCAGCTCTTCCTACTGGGAGAAGCGGCACCAACTGTCCCGTCTGATTGACAGAAGAGGATGTGGGCTGAAATTGGGTTCTTCTTAACCTTCGCCCTGCAGAGCACCGTCACTACTTATCCATCAAGAGAAAACCTCAGAAATTAATGCGTGATGCTTGTTACGTTAATTATTCTTCTCCTTGACCAGCTTGGCGATAGTTGTGATACCGTCCTGGAGACGACGGGATTTCTAATGGTCATTGGTGATCTTCATTCTCGCACATGCAAGACGAGAGGCTCCACTTTAGAACCATGCCACGGTTGTTTGAAAGGAACCAGTTTGATCAAATCCTTTCAGGACTTTACATTACCATGGGCCGAGATTGTTCTGCATTTGAGATTCTGGGTGGCAATTGATAGCTCACATACAAGTCTGAACTAGATTTATCGTCTTGAATACAAAGGGCATCCAGAATGATGTTGACAACCCCACCACTCCTATGAATTGAACCAAGATGGAGAGGTGATTCCACTCCGACGTCCTCAGGGTTAATATCTACGGAATCCACTTTCAGCATCCTCGTCCAAATGAGATCGCCTTCACCTGGCTCAAATTTGCATTTTACTGCAGGATACTTTACTACAGTACGTCCGACTGTCTAAGGGATGGTAAGATATAATTAAATATATGTCGGTCGAAATGAATCTAAAGTATGTCAATATAGAAGACTAGTGCTCCAGTTACTCGTAACCACCAACATATGTCAAAAGCAAGCAAAAGAAGAAGACCAGATTAAAGAACTGCCAGTAGATAGAACTAAATCGAGAGTCATAGTGGATTCACGCGCAGAACTGTAATTGCATGTAGCTAATAATATTACCACTCCGCAATTATCCTAGTCTCTCTATTCTCTACAGCTTTAACTGTAAATTTCTGGAATGAATGCATGCTGAATGAGGCTACGTTTGATTGTTTCATTCATGAAAAACAAAAATGTAGTAAGATATATTTTGGTTTTTTAACATATTACACATTAATGATTGTGATAGCAAATGTTGACGTAGTTACATAGTGAATCATTTTATTCTTAAAAGAAAGATTTAATTAAATTGAAAAAAATTATGCATGTTACGATATATGAAGTTATTTTAGAGAATTGTGAAGATTATAAGTATTAACCACTCGTTATTATAAAAGAATATTGATTTGTTCCGAAATTTGACATTTTTAAAAGAAATGTTATCATTATATTTTAGGTATTTTATATTTTTACTTACTTCATCATCTTGTGTTTACATCATAGTATAACTAAAAAAATTCAAAGATATTAAAAAAAATAAATTATTGATCTACATAACTTGGTATTTATCGTGAAAACTCTAACTGATATTGCGAGATGCTAAAGCTGGATCGAATATTGTGATACACAAATGACTTGATAGGAGTACATTTGTTTCAAAATGGAGATAAGTCAGCAGTCTGCAGATACAAGTGCCTTCGATATGAAGTCGACAAATTATTACGAATCCTGCATATATCGAGTTGCAAGCTGATACGATAGACACAGTAACCACAAAGAGATGCACAAGATAGATAACAGCCTAGAGCAACCGACTCATTTGATCTGGAAAGAGAATGAAAGCTATCCATTGGCTTTGCAGCCCGACGATATTGCAGTTATTATGGCAGCCTAGGTTTCACAATGACCACGTCCTTACCAGGTACAAATGTCCATCTTGTCTGCCAAAGTATCTGATGTCCTTACGGCGCCTGAGTTCTTGCAATTTCGTGATCTCTGAAAATCAGGTACTATCTCCTTCTAATACTACTCTTAACATACATCAATCTCTTATTCAATCACGATGTGGTATTTGATTACATTCCATTTCTGTTCTTGGACATGAATGGTACGCACAGCAAGTGGATAGAACATGAAGTCGATGTATTTATGTGTAGTTTTAGTGGGAGAAGTTCCTCTGCTGCTTCTGAATATCGAAATGCTTGAATACGCAGCAATGGATTCTGGAAACATGGGAAATGTCTATGAAGATCAATCTCATTATCCTGGAAATTTCTGAGACACGAAAGCACAAAATAGCTCTAAAACACAGTGACATGATGATACTCGAAAAACCACCATTCACTTCAGTGTTTGTTTGCTGATCTTGCCCGTGAGTAATCACCTTCGGTAGAGTCATGAGTTTAGCACTGTACAATTCCAAAGCTTTGTCTTGGATATCTCGGCTGTCTTCACCAATACTAAGCATGTGCACCTCTTGCTACATGAGCACTGCATGACTACTTACAACGCTAGCTCTCACATCCCTTAGTTGTTCCACTCACAACGTTGAGGTCAAGAATTGAAAATGCTCTGTGGAGTACAGTTTTTCCGAAATTTGGATAAAGAAGTAAATGTGTAAGTGTATGGGATGGAGAACATGTACCTATAGTTTTATAATCATTGGAGTTAGAAGATATGAAAGAAATTGGGTTACCGGACTAAGGTTCGTTGGAATTCGCCTTGAGGCCTTCGGCGCAAGATCTTCAGACTTCGGCGCAGATATCTATGGAGATACAATAGACCGATCTTTGGCGAATGCGACTTGTAAAAATTTGAATTTGCCAAGGATCGGACAGGAGCAACTAGCATTGCAAGTGCCAATTTGCGTGAGTGCTAGAACCATTAGGGCATTGAGGGTAAGTACGCAAAGTGGGCACTTCGCGCCGACATTGTGCGAGAGCGAGAGTTGGAATCAGAGACTTTGTAGACTACCTTGCAGAAGACATGACGCGCGTTAGGAAAGCAACAGGACCAAAATTGCTTTTGCTGAAGGTGCCCGACGAGGAATTGAGTAAGTATCGTCAGGAGTTGATCGGGGCGCGTCTCGATTTCTTGCTCTGAAATGATATTGCATGTTGGCGACTATCTGTCAGGAGCTGATGGACGAGAACAGGAATGAGGTAACTGGCCTTCGCGGTAATCCATTGTTGTGGACGGTCGAACATTGGATGCACGTCTTAAGACCATGTGTGGGCAAGGGGATTACACCTTGGAGAAGTAGAGCGTTAGAGTGACACAAGCCGAAGAATTGACATTTGCGCGGCTGTTAAAGAATCCTCGATCGAGTACAAACGGTTGGAGTATAGTGGAATATTGTGACACAAAGAGACGCGCGGTGGCAATAGCATTGATGCACATCTTGCGGCCGCATCGGACAACATATGTAACCAGGCAAGTGGGATTCACAGACCGCGCAGTGCGCGGGAAGTCAATTCACTCGGCAAAGATCTTCTACCTAGTCTGGATTAATGTCGGCAAAAGGTGGGGCGGAGCGTCAATGAATCACATGACGTCCTTCTTGGTGAATTTCTATAGCGGGTTGGGTTTGCTGACGAAGAGCGGAGAGAAGAGATTTCCTAAGAAAAGAAAGATCTTGGAGTCGGATGAAGACAAAGAGTCCGAAGAGGAGAAACCCAAGCCAAAGAGACCATCCGAGCAGTAGCACGAGTACCGGTTCGCGTGGAGGTGGTCACGGCAGAAGAAGGATTTGAACGACGACCGGCGAAGAGGCAAAAGATAGCCGAAGTCAGTGTTGCGGCATGAAGACCATAAGCACAAATGGCGAGGTCAACTTCAACACGTTTGAGCATGCCGAAGACGCTTGCTAGACCGAAGATGAAGGCACAATGTCAGCTGATAGTGTAAGAGAGTTCAAAAAGTAGTGTAGCCATGATTGAGGGAACCGCATCTTCGGCAAATGAGGATGTAGTCATGTAGTTACGAGTCGGCTCACGCAGTTTAGGCACTTACTATATTTAGACGTGGAAATAGGGTTCGGGTCACGAGGGGTATAGAGTCGGGGACGGCTCGAAGAACGTTAGTTCTTCGAGTCGAGCCTGGAAGCGTTGGGAGCTTGGAGAGACTTTACCCTTTGCATCGACCTAGATTCTCCGAGTGTGGAGTGGGTTGGGCTTGACTCATGTTTGTGACGGTGACGGTTTGTTGCCAGTAGGGTAATTGACCGACGGGAATTCCAGTGGGGAATCTCCCGTTTATTTCACTCGAAGAACTCATTACATCGAATCGGTCGGTGTTTGTTGTCACGGTTTTGTTCAACGTTGCTTTGAAGTATGAGGGGCATCATTTCTGCTGCTGGTGGATCAATCCTCTGATACAACTCGGAATCGAATCTCGCTCGCTTCTGAGAGGAGGGCGCCGTGGAGGCGCACCGGGACGTCTTGCTTGTTGATGCGCGCTGTGGGTCGACCGCGAAATTTTGTCGAGGAGAAAGGAGCT